TTGATTATTCAGGAATTGACTTAGCTTGTAAAGGCTGTCCGAGTAATCCAAAAGTATGATAAATTTTTGTACTGATGGTCGTTTTAAAACAGATTTTCTAAATTTTAATCAGCACCCTACGAATGTCATTGCTGTAGAAAAGTGATCAAGTTTTGTTTCTTTTTTCGCTCCTCCGTTAGAATTATTTTTACTGTTTTATCTTTGTTATAATTTTTTGTCATTGTTGGTATTATTATTACTTTAATTCTAGTAATTCCAGTAATTCTTATGATTTAACTCAATTACTGGTGTATTACTATTTTGAAGGGTCTAATGGAAGAGCAGTTATCCTTACTGACAGTCAAAACGAACAGATTTTAGCACTCAGTTGTTCTGCGGATAACGTTTTGTTCTTCTTGAAATTCAGGAATTTTACGCTGATTCCTTGAATAGAGTTGTTGTTTTACACTAGCGTTCCATCCCCCAATTTTTTTTTTCATCGTTTATTACTTTGTTTCCTGATCGTACCTGTTGGTGTTTTAATAGATCTTTAATGTCTTTTGAATTTTGTTAATTACTCTGTATCCCATGTCATTTCCAGAGTGGTGGGCCGTTCTACAAGTTATTTTTTTTACCAAAATGGCCTGGAGGCGACGCTAAGTATCCGATGTTCTACCAGCAGCAAGGTTAGCGTTTATATTATAGAACCATTTCTTTTTTTGCAGTTGCAGTTTGAAATAATTGGTGGATTTGGTTAATATAAGGGATATTTTAGAGTATTCAAAAATGGGTGACCAAAGACAACAACAGATGGTGGGAATGCAGAGCGGAATGGGACAACCGTCAAACGTATTGCCTCAGCCGGGGATGGCCATGAGTCACCCCACCAGTAATATGCAGCCACAGCAGTCTAATACTATGATGCAATCTTCGGGAGGTATAAGCGGTCCATCGCAAATGTACATGCCGACTTCCTTATCCAGTGGTCCTCAGCAGCAGCAGGAGCAACAACCGCCAGCCAGGTCTTATTCGAGTGGACCGGGCTCTGCTGAACCATCAGTACAGATGCGATCTTCAAACGTTCAGCAGCTTTATGGTACAAATGTACCTCCTTACATACAGTCTGATACTCAGCAGTCTCATTATCAATCAGTGCAGCAACCTCAAACTCAACCCATTATGTCCCACACGTCTGCTCCTCCGCTTCGGTATGTTCTTTTTGTTTTTCTTCGCATATTAAAATTTTGTTAAATTATTCCGCTCTTCTTATGGTTCCTTTTGTCACTGTTTTAAGGCATACAGAAGTGAAGAAAGAAGAGCGTGTTTTTCGCTCTCTAAACCCTCCTCCCTATGCTCCTGATGTTCTAGATAATCTGTCACGTTATTCAGTTTACACGCTCTCTGTTATTGGTCGTGAACTTGTTCATGAGTTACTGTGGAGGTATATTTTTGTTGTTTAAGACTGCCGTGAGATTGTAATCATTCCTGTACTGTAATGTTATTTTGTTTCAGTTGGCGAATAGAAACTAATCAGTAGCGACCAAATAAATTGTTTTTGGATTCTTCAATAATGAGCTGATAAGTAATCATTTTTAGGACATTCAGCTTGTTGACAGTCCTGCCAAAACACTTGGAGAGACGTACGCAACAACAGAGTATTACAGATCCGGAGTCCTTGCTTGATTACTGCTATTTATTGCTAGCTAAGATAGCTGAAGTGGCTTTAAGAATTGAAAGAGCAGGTCCTTCTAAAAAGATTTCTGAAGACGAATTCCTGTCGATGATGTTGCAACCAGGAGTTCCTGAAGAATCTCCTGAAGAGGTGAGTTTCACATTTGTTCAATTTTTTACAATTGAATGGTGTTCAAGAAATCAAAATTAATTTTGACTCGGTTTAAACTTTTTTCTTAAATGTTGGGACTTCTGTTCTTTTTTTTATTTAGATTACGAAAAACGAGCTTTTTGAGGCCCAGAGGAAAAAACTTGTGAAACTGAACACGGCACTGAAAAAGTTCGAATGGATGGCTATGGTGTCTGACCCTAGATTTCTTAAACCTTAAACTATTTACATTTTCAACCGTCTAAGAACTTTAAACGGTCACATCTTTTTCATTAACGATAGATAATCGGAGTCTAAACGAATGGTGGGCTCTCTTCCCTGTATAAAATTGCTCCCAGTTTTTTTGTTCGTCATGCTTTACTTGTATAGTTTACGACTTCTTTACCAAGTCTTTGCCAAATATTCGGTAAGTTTTAAGGGGAGATTATACATTTCATAACGGGATGAACTTTTGATTGTTTTTAGAGACTATTTTCAGTTAGCGATTTTAAGGTATAGTGTATGGATTTCCTGTCCAGTAAGCTTTAATGAAGAATCATTCTAATAAACTCAAGATGTTGCAGCTGGTCCTTTGTCTCTGTAAAGGTATTTTTCAGCTTGGACGTCAGTTTTTGAGCTAAGTTCTTCATTGTCACTGACAATCAGTAGAATTCTTAGCAAGGGTTTGGTGGATTTTTGTGACTGTGACACCTAAAATGCACTTTTGGGTTTTCCTTGAGGCTTGAACAGGCGCATTATTTGCCCGCCAGTCCCATAAGAATTTCAAAGGTGTAAAGGCATGTAAAGGTAAAAAAAGTAACAAAAAATTGAATATATCTTAAAGTACTGAAAAAAGCGTTTACATACCTTACGGCCAACAAATGTATTGTAATTAGAAGCATTATAGACAAAACAAATTTGTCAAAGTGGGTCAGCTTTTAGAAACCTGACTTGTGGAAGCAAGACCATTGTAGGTGTTGAAGTCTTCCCGAAAAGGAGGGTTTCCCTAATGCTTCTCTCATGAACTAATTCGTACTGCCATCTTATGCCTCTTTGCTCCTTTTTAGAAAGACTCTAATTGTCAGAAGTCCTTCACTTATTGCTCCCCTCTTCCCTAAATACTTCGTCCCAGGAAGAGTGAAATGTGCATTAAAATTGGATTGCTTTATTGTAAACAACCATTAATTTGTCACTGGAAATTTGAAGATAACTCCAACCCCCTCCTTACTTTTAAAAAAGCTGTCTTGTACTCCGCCTACAACGTATGAACCAAATCCCATCCCAAAAAGATCACTCTTTGCTGCTTCGCGTCACAGAATGCCGAGATATCGGTTCCCAAATTCTCAAACTACGTGGACCGTTATTGTGAATTAAAGTCTTTAATGGGTTTTTCCCCTCACACAAATTAAATTCAGAAAACGCAACTCGTTGAAGTCTGAAAGCCAAATAAAATCTTACCTTCGCAACTTCCTTCCCAAATAAGTGTTTCACAGCCATTCAAAATCGGAAGTGATAAGGGAATTAAGGGAGAACAGGGCGAGAAAAAATCTAAAGCATATCAATTCAACTGCTTCCAAATGCGCAATGTGAATAGTCGTACTGGTTTGCTTACGGAAGATACAGGAGGTCCTTTCGGACGCGGTGGTTTATGAACCGTTTCCCACCCTGATACTAGAGGAGATTATGAGTTGATGAGCCAAGCCGGGCACTTACAGAATCGGGGAAGAATTAGAACATATCGAACTTTTCACAGCGTTTGACCTGTACGAAGACTTTTAAACCTTCAAATGGTACTTCAGTTACCAAAGTAATTTACAGCCAAACAGGTACTTAGCCACAGTATTCCTTCAAAGTGCTGAAGAAAATGTGCGTAAACTGCGTCTTTCAAATTCAGCTAAGTTAGAGGAAGATACGTCCACTAAATGCAATATTCACTTGCCAGGGAGACTGGGAAGCCAATGTGAATAAGAGATTAAGAAAAAGGTAATAAAGCCTTTATCATGAGATCACAACAGCCGGGATTGTCATTTTGAATTAGATTTAAGAGCGAAAACAAGCTGAACTTCAAGAACCACCAATTTCTTACCGTATTCGCAAAAGCAAAAACATGGCTTCAAAGACTTCAAAGGGCGGGGACGAAGTTGTTCAAAGGCTAAACCCAACAAAATGACTTCTGGTTTTCAGGTTTCTGGCTAAGAAGGCAAGGTAGTTAGAATCTTAGCCATTTTCAGAGATATAAAATAAAAAATGCAGAGTAAATCAAAAATGATACAAAAACCTCAAATTACCAGCATTATCGGAATTTTTTTCTGGTTTAATAAAATAAAAAATCCCAGCAAAACATAGTAATGAGCGTAAAATATTATGTGCAATGTTCATTATCGTTTGATCATTCTCAGGCACTAATCTGTTTCCATATCATCGTCGTTGGGAGCAATTTTTTCAATTGACACTCTAGCATCAATAAATGCAGATATTAAAGACGCAAGCTGAATCCTATCAGTACAACCACGTGAAAGACGAAATTCAATTTCTGCCATTCTTTCGATCAAACGGCACGTCACTTCGGCGGGAACATCCAGCTGGAAGACTGTGTCATGCATTGAGCGGATAAGGTCTGCCAGAGCAAATCCCCGTAGTACTCGCATCTTTTCAATTTCTGAAGATCATAACAACTGACAAAACTATTTCTAAAAAAAACAACAAGAAATCTAACTAATAGCCCAAAAAATCAAATCGGTTATTTAAAAACTTCAAGAAGAGAGCGTAACCCTTAGGCTACTCGCGATGCTTTAGCAGTAAAAAATATCGTAGAACATTCAAAGCAAAGTACATAGTTGAAAATATGCACTTTTAAATGCTTCCTCAAAAGAATCATTCAGAAGATTCCGAATCACTTCCATAGCATCCGCCGGAGTTGGCTGTCCCACACATAAATATACATTTTTCTCATTAACTTCCGCAAAAGCCATTGCCGTACTCTAAATCCAAGTTATAAGACATAATCCATGAGTCAAACTGTCAAACTAGAAACCAGTTTTCACTACTTGTCAGCAACAGAATTAAGACTTCTTCAAAATTTAGTTTCATGAGAAACGGTAACTTTCCTGTCCGTTAAGACTACCTGTAATATGTTTAAAACCAAACGCATGTCACCCTCTGACAATCTAATTAAAGCTTGTTCGCCATCTTTTGTTAATTTCACCTTCTCTTCCTTCGCTATAAACCGTAAACGAGGCAACATATCTTTCTGCAATCGACTAAAAATACTAAAAAGAATTCTCTTCTGAAAGACAATGCTTAAACAGTGATACTAAGTGGAAAAAAACTGTCAAAACTGTTCATAGACCATAAATTATTAAAAACATTTCTGATCTCAACCTCGTTCAAGGGCGCAAAACGAAATCTGGTACACCGCGATTGTATAGCAGGAATTATTTTAGAAAGATAGTTACAAATAATGCAGAATCGAACGTTGTCAGTGAATTTTTCAATGACTCTTCTAAAACGGAATAACAACAGTGCAAAATAAAGATAACCAACCTCGTTGGTTAAACTAAATAGAATAAGCTCAAATCATTGTAGAACTGTACAAGAAATCAGTGATTTAACAGTCGTATAGCAAACAAATTCAAACCTCAAAGCGTTTTGAGCATCTTTTGTCATGGCATCAGCCTCATCCAGGATAACGAGTTTAACAGAGTCTTTTTCGTTCTCACTTGCATGTAAGAGTCTAGTCTGAGCAAAAGATATAATTTGTTCACGGACAACCCCAATACCACGATCATCAGATGCATTTAGCTGAAAAGCAGTTGATAAAAAAGCTGTTTATTGTCCATACACTTTTTTTTATGTCATACAGTTGAAGCGTATAATTCTCAGATTTATCAGAAAAAAATAATTAGAAATGAAGTTAGAAGTAACAAAAACGAAGTAATTTTAGCAGGTCAGTTTAAGAAAGCCGCCAGCTAAAAACTGGAAGAAAAATTTGATAAAGACAAACTGAAAACCTTTGAGAATCAAGAAGCAAATCATAATACTCTTTAAAATTCATGTTAAAACTAAACCCGCACTGAGTCTGTTTTCCGAATAGAAAAACCGGGAAACTTTTGTTAAAATTTTCGTAAGACATTACAATTATAGTCGATATTTTGATAGGGAAAAGAAAACGATTTTTATTCAACAAAAGAAAGCCGAGATAAATCAGCAGCGGCAGCGTTAGGTGGCATTAAACTTTAACAAAGACGCAAGATGCAAAAGACTACTATCTTAAAATTATATAAAAAACTGACCTCCAAAACCATCGAAGGAAACTGCTTTGGTGTACACATTAACTTTGCTGCGGCCAAAATTGTACTGGTTTTTCCTGTACCGGGCGGGCCGTAAAACAGAAGGTGAGGCAGTCGCTTTTCTTTGATAAATCTCGAAACTAAAATCAAGTTGATTTATATTAGCTGCAAAACATACAGATCAACAAAATCAATGAAATACTTCATAGTTAGGTAAGATATAATGTAGTTTTTTTGTGGAAAATAAAAAACTTCTAAACCACGAACTCCAGATCATGGTAGCAAAAGCCACAAAAAAAGTCACTTTTTGTTCAGTATCTGCAATGCGTGATCTGTCGTATACAAAAGAAAACTGCGACAAATCAATTCAGTTACTGCTCAAAATAATTCTTAAAGTGGAATTATAATTATAAAATGCGAAAATGGTTATACCAATATTGTAGTATTCTGTAGTTTAACAGCTAGATTTAAGCTTATTCTAACAAATACCACACTTCTTTGTAGCCGTATAAAAGTCATGTAAGAATAAGTTCCTATTTACTAACTTGCAGAAATAAATACCTAACAGGTAGTCAAGGATTAACGCGTACTTTTTGCTTACAAACCATCAAACATTAACTATAACACAATGAATGGAACCAGCAAACAAGTAGAAATACAGGAAATTTAGCTAACTGGTATCAGTGATTTCTTTCCGCGAAACTAGATCATCTAAAGTAGCTGGCCGATATTTTTCAACCCAAGGCAGATGGTTCATTTTTATATCTGACTGTGGCATCTTGATCGGAAAGGAACACTCTGAAATCATGTGTAACTTCACTATGCTGAAAGACAATAAATTTTGGAACAGAACTGAAAGAAACACAACCGACTTTTCGCAAAAAAGAGTTACTAACATTGATAAACGTATAATACCGAACTGGAAGTATCGACTGAACCAGCAAACAACAGCGATTCTATCCACAGCGATTCTATAAAACATACGTTGACGGATTGACACTTTTAAAACTCTTCATGCGAGCAAATTTTTAAACGGCTCTCTTTTCCCGCCTCAGCCTCAATTAGTAACAGCTCGGATCTCAGTTACTCGTTTAAGACCTTTGAAGTTGTTCGTAGGGATAGAACGGCACTGCTTCTAATATTTCCGCCTGCTTACAAGATCTCAATTTCCCATCTGTTGAAAGTTGAGTTTACCTTTTTGGGGGCTTTCTGCCATTGCCGGAAAAACCTCTTGCTGCTTATAGAACAACGTAATGGGCATACAGTGTGATGAAGTCAAGCAGAAGAACTTAACTGTCGCGCCATCTTCCGACAGCTTCGCTCTTAATATTTTACCAACCATTTAACTACATTTCACAGTAAAAAATGGCTAAAAAGCCACGATTTTAAGCACAATTATGGCATTATCAACTTTACGTCAAAGTGCAAAAAACATTCACCCAGATCATGAATAGAATGTTTTACTGTCTGTCTAACTCATCCGGAAAGCTAAAAAAAGATCCAAGACACAGTGAATTTACGCAGTGATATCTGATTAGAATTCTATGCCAACACGGTGTTGAAATCAAAAATAACGTGCTTCAGACGCATATTTCTAATTTAGAAATCTGGAACGTTATTTGGGCTAAAGGCCTTTCTTCATTTCTCAACAGGAAATGTTCTACTGGAAGTGGGAGGTATGGGTGCATAAAGCCTAGCTGGAAAAAGACTGGCTAAGATTCACTTCGTTGTTTTGGGGGTGTGGGATGTAAAATCTCATGCTTAATTCACTGTATTCCAGACCCTGTCCCGCCAGTTTGTGTGAACACTGCGAGGAAAAGTCATTGATTGCGGAATACGAGAATTCAGCCAAACATTGGAGTTACTTGAATGACGGCTGTTTGGTAATAACTGGGCAGCTTTTTCAATTTGGTGACCCTAATTTCTTTTCAACTATTGAAGCTGATGAATGGTAATTGTAATATATGTGGTTTTCTTTCATTGTAAGCAGTTAAGGCGATGGAGCTATCAAAGTGAAATAGAGCCACAAGTGAATCACTTTTTTCAACTGCAGAAAATTTTTCTGTTATAGTCTGTTATAAAATTTTTCTGTTATAGCTCTTCTGCTAGCAACAATTCAAGCTTTTTAAATTTTTTACATAGTCTTGACTATCTTTAGATTGTTTTTTCAGAATGGAACCTCAAGAGACTAGGAGGCTTGATTTTCGGACTGAAAAAAGAACGTTTTATCTGTAACTGTTTTGAGCTAGGTGTAGCCTTAATTTTTGCGCCCATGCTTTGGCTGGGTGGCGATTAAGAGGTGGAGTATAATGAAAGAATTACGTACCACAAACTGCTATGGAATTCAACTTAAAAAATACCAGTTTCCTTGAAATTTAGATACGAGTGAAGACGAGATGTTATTTTTTCTCAGTTTTTGTATGCTTAGAAAATAAATAATTATTTACTAACACCTAGTTTTCTAGTAAAAATTAATTTTTGCTTGTACTTTGGGGTTCACTGATCTGAAAATGCCAGTAAACTGAAAGAGGCATAGCTTTGTAAGATAATAGCCAGTGGAAAGAGAGGAGGATGAAATGGAAAATATTGTTAGTTCGGTTTAGTAGTTCGTGGGTTCCCAAATCAAAGTTTAAAAAACTGAAGCACCAGTTTTCCAATTGTCGTAATTTGGATATTTTTATATAGTTATTAAAATCTTAAAAGATAACTGGTTTATGCACATACTTTCATACATGTGTCTGCTAATTATCATTGTTAAGAAATCACTGATTAGAATTGTAGCGCATGACAATAATCAGATGATATCTGTTTAGCTTAATTTTTCTTCTGATCACGGTTATACTGTTTTAAAGACACAATTTTTTTGATATCATTTTGCTAAGATTTTGGATTATGGCTGTTCTAAAGCTGAAGGTGAAACTATGTGTTACTGTTTATTTTTTTTTTCTTCTTCTTTTGGTGCACACTTTATTACTATCTGTAGTCGGTTTTTTTTTATTTTATTTTTTTTTTTTTTGGGGGGGGGGGGGGGGG